TAAATTCGTAATTAAATATTAATGTTTCATTCCTCTATTCGTAATAGCACTTAGTTTCATGATAATGGAATTATTATTACTGTTATAATTATCACTTATTTGTTTGTTTACTTTTACTTTTATTCATGATTATTTCTTCCAATTACTTAACTGTAATTTGTATTTGACTTTTAATAAGTTTGTATGTAATGTAATTCAGTCATCTACACTGTGCTGAGTCTGTAATTGGCCTTGCGGCTGTTGACTCGGCACATTAATAATAAAGAATTGAATTGAATTGAATTGAATCTGTGCTAAAATATTTTCCTTGAAGAAGGAAGTCTCCGAAAAGAAGGGTTAGCATTCCGGCAAGTCCTTTAAGTGCTAAGAGCGGGATCTGACGCTGTCCTGCGGCATTGAAATGCAAATTGATTCAGTGTCCGCCACTTTTGCATTAGGAAACCCAGTTTGCTTAGCTTGGCTGTTCTGTCGGCTTTTATTAAATCTGCGTTCTGAGCACGAAATGTACGTCTGCATTCGTAAATTCGGTGGTTGCAACTTCGGATATTCTGGGGGCCGGGAGGGAGGAGGACTACTCTGTATGGAGCAGATCGGGGACATTGTGGTGACGTCATGACCTCAGGTTCCAAATCTCGGACCCTCCACTCCTTCCCCACCCCCTCAGACCGCCACCACACAAGAAAGTCAGAAATTGGAGAGCGCGTAGATTCGGTCATCCTTCAGAGGAACGCGTGGGTAGCCTTTACCCCTTTACAGGATGACCAAAATTATGAGACGACCAGAATGTGCCACACCAGGTTTCTGGAGTTCTGTTGAGTGCGCTGAATTCTTCTAGGTCAGGACAGCTTAGCGTGGCGAGTTCCTATGAACACGCACCTTCGAGTCACATGCTGGTTACCTTGCACTCCAGTAAAGCGAAGTCTTCAGATTATACAGCTGAATTTATTCACCCAGCACGAGGACGTATAGGAGAGTGGAGGTACAGCTCCATGCATTAATAACCTCGGCCCTAGCTGGAGATGGGTGGTCAGCTTCACATCCCGGGCGCTTTACTCCCGGGGAAAGAGACCCGGTACCCGTTGGATAGGTTGGGTGGGCCCCAGAGCCGGTCTGGATGACGTGGAGGAAAGATAATCTCTTTGTCTTCACGGTCGGAGTGTTCCAAGATGTAGCATAGTCACTATACTGACTGAGCTATTCCAACTCCCACTTCGAAGTTGTAGAAGGGGAAAAGAGAAGGAGGCTCTTGAACCGCATCTCGACGACGTCAAAATAAAATATAGGCCCCAGAGGGGGCTCGACATCGAGACTTCGCCTTGGGCTGGAGGAAGGGATATTCTTGGACCGACTGTTTTCAAAATTTTCCTTTAGCCTGTTCATGTCTATCTGTTTAACAATTTAAAGATTTCTATCCAGGGGCACGCAGCAGAGTACTCGGTTGAGGCACTATGCTACAAGCCGCAAGGTCGCGGGTTTCATTCCCCATGCGGTCATTGGAATTTGTAATTGATCTAATCTTTCCAGCCGCACTATGGTCCTGAGGTCGACTCAGCCTCTAACAAAAATGAGAACCAGGAATCTTCCTGGGGGTAAAAGACGGCAGGCACGTAAAGCTGACAACCTCACCGTCATCTGTAATTCGATTGTATAGAAAATGTGGGAGCCTCGACGTCTCACAGTCCTATGGGCACTCACGGGCTGTTGCAGGGATAACCGGGCCTTCTACGTTTTACGTTTTCTCTCTCATTTAATCTGTTAAACTTGGGACCTGAGCACTTAGAATCGGGTGAGATCAAGCCACGCAGCATGTACCTACCGAGATACGAACCCAGAATTTACGCATGTCGGAGTTCCAAGGGTATGCCATGAGACAGTTCCCTGTTGAGCACTTCTAATGTTCCCACAAAGACTGGGCTTCACACATTTTTTGTTTTCAAATGTTGCTGTGTTACGGAAATGAGATTTAAGCCACTAATCCCATAAGAATAGAGGCTAGCAATTCTAGACTGTTTTGCTCTTTTATTTGCATACAACTTTTGCATTAAACATGAATCCAATTCGAGCTATTCCGTATTTCGCGAAATTTATAGAAGTTTGTATCTTTCCACTGTTGCCTTTTACTATGGACATGCGTGATGTCCCCTTCTTTGTGATATCAGCGGTGATTAACTTGGTTTGTCGAAGTGCAAGCTTAATTTCCTTATGTAGGCAGTGATCGCATTTGTAAACCAGACGCAAAGGAATTTAAAATGTATATTACTGTATGGAAGTAGGATTGAAAATTAAAATTTTCCATTTTTTACTTATATGTTGTTACGGAAGGACCCCCCTTTCTGGTCTAGTGGTCAGAGTCCCTGGCTACAGAACCAGAGGTCCTGGGTTCGATTCCTGGCGCTACCAGGTTTTCTGAGAAGTAGTGGGTCTGGAACGGGGTCCAATCAGCCTCGTGATGACAATTGAGGATATATTTGAAGGAAACAGCGGCTCCGGTCTAGAACACCGAGATTAACGGCTTTGGGGATTCGTTGCGCTGACCACGCGACACTCTCTATCCGCAAAAGTCGACACTAACTTCGCCGACAAGCGGCGGTCGCTCGGTGAGTATAGTTCGCTTGCGGACTACAGGCCACGGAATTGTTAGGGAAACTGTTCTTGAGTATATGAAGGGAAGTCACACCCTACAAATATAAGCTTTCGCACTCTTTCCCATGTCTCCTTGTATTATGTGTCATTGAATGATACGTCGAGGCTGACGTTTAACGCCATCTCCCATGAATAACAATCACAAACAGTCAATTTTAAAGCGCCTCTTGTATACAGTACAGTTCAGATATTCAAATTAAAATATTGACATTACTCAGAAAATAGACACTGTAGACTGAAACAAAAAGCTTGTTGGCTCGTTCATGAAAATTCGTTGCCATGGTAACCTTAAATTGCTTAATGATAATGATTGTACGCTTAATAAAAACTAATATATATAAGGGGGAACGCTGTTCTATACTCAGCCTGTGTTACATAGAATAATTGGGTGACAGTAAGTAATAAGTTGGAAAAAGGCCGTTGTCTGATTTAAGTTGCCATTCCGAAATTTCTGTGGAGGTACTGAAGAAAACCACTAGAGACCTCTCTCAGGAGAGTCGGTTTTCTCCGATTGAGATTTGAAACAGATACTTCGGGACGACTTTCTGGGTGAACAGTTTTCTTGAAATGCACATTACATGTGTCACAGAGCTCAAAGCTTACGGTATTGTTGTCTTAAAGTTTTGCTGGAATGGCGTCGCTTGTAATGCGGGATACATATGTTGAATATCTCATAAATCAGAATTGCGTGGGTGACGTCTGAACTTTTCTCGGACAGCTTCAGAGTCCTGCGCAGTGGGCAGACCTTAGCGAGTCTTGCAAAACATGGCTTCCCCGCAAAGTAAATGATTTATGGAAGGCCGCGCCATAGCTCAAGCGGTTTGTCGCTGGCTTCCCGACCCCGGGTCTGGTCAAGTGGGATTGGTGATGGATAAAGTGGCGCTGGGGCAGGTTTTCTCCGAGTACTTCGGTTTCCCCTGCCAATCTTCATTCACCAATTGCTCCACAATTACCCTCACCTATCATCTGGGGCTGGTACAATAGGCCAGAAGTGGCCGCAGTACAAGGGACTTAGTCCCACCCCACTAGCAATAAAAAAATTATTTATGACCTCTGCTTTTAGGAGTCTCAGATTAATGATGGTGCGAAATTCGGATATATATATTCCGAAAACACGGCGCAGATTGAATATGCTCTGAAACAAATTGCTTTGCCAGTTATTTCGCTCTCAGTAAGACGAAACGTGCTGACATAAATGACAATAAAACAACCTATAATCTTCACAGAGTGTGAACAGTACTAGCTCCTGCACACGTCGAGCAGTCCTGTTTGCTGCTTCCTTCTTGCTGGTTGCTTGGCTTACTCTTCACCTTGAAGTTGGAGTCAGTAAGTTCTTCCGAAACGTCGGTGAAATTATGTGGGAATACCCAACGTTACAGCCCAGAGATAGTTACCGATAACGAGTACTTCAAATCCTTCATGGAATATCTTCAAATGAGAAATCAATTTATCGATGGACGAAAAAAAAAGAACTTAACTGGGAAAATGGGAAGCCATGCGGATTTGAATGAAGCTCGCATCAGCGTGTGTACATAGTGATTTATTCAGTTCGGTCGGTTCGCTACATAGAAGAATATTTTAGTTTTCAAATATTTAAATATTATCTTTACATAGAATTTACACTTTTTTATCGCAGTCTGTGTTGAATAAGCTTTCCTGTTATCTTAGAGTACAGCTTGAATATTTTCTTTCCCTTGGCCTGTGGCTGATGGGAATTTATGTTGTGTTACGGTGGGTCAGACACCTTCATTTCTTTGTTGCAGTAATTCCAGGGACTGGAACGTTTCGCGCCTGCTTTTCTTCATTACTGTCCACTCTCGCTCCAGGCTCGGTAATCCAGCGCATGCGCAATATACAGTGCGTACAATCAAGTGCGCGCCGCGGCTGCANTGCATCCGTTCTGCGGTGGTATGACTCACGGCAAATTGAAGCCGCGGCGCGCACTTGATTGTACGCACTGTAGCTGGAGAATTTGAAGGGAATTTTACGGATTCGACGAATTCAACTGCAGCTTCATGAAACGATTTTAAAGAGCGGTTAGTAAGGGTAAGGAAAAGGTAAAGTTCTCCCTGTAACAAACCGCGGAGACCCGTAGGACTGTGGGACGTCGAGGCTTCCATATTTCCTAGACATTCGGTTCACAGATGGCGGTGAGGTCAGTTTTACGCGCCGGCCGCCCTTTACCCCCAGGAAGTTTCCTGGTACTCATTTCTGTTAGAGGCTGAGTCAACACCAGGGCCATAGTGCGGCTGGAAGGATTACATAAATTGAGAAATCCAATGACTTAATCGGGAATCGAACCCGCGACCTTCCGGCTTGTAGCATAGTGCCTCAACCAACTACGCTACCGCGAACGAAACTGTAGCGTGCATTTAAATGTATACGTCCCATATTAGTAAAGGCACGGACTCGATCCTAGGCCGGGGCATATGGGATTTGTGGGTGTCAGAGTGGCTTTGGAATGGATTATTCCCGGATACTTCGGTTTCCCCTGCCAGTTCTCGTTCCACTAACTGTTAATCCTACCATCTACACTACATAAACTCGATAGTGACGGCATCGTTTAATGACGTAATTAACACGCTCAGACTTTATCGCGTCGAATGGTAGGTTAGTTAATGAATGATGAATTGGAAGGGATTTGAAAGGTAAGGGTTATAACCTAATTTAGGTACTATCGTGACATTTCTATAGGTGGACTGAGGAAAACACTGGTCATCTGGGGTAGTTGGCATGCAGGGAACCTTCCAAATGCTAGTCAATAGCTTTACTGCTTGTTTGGTGTCTGGTGAGCGATGGTGACGCAACACTGTCTGACCTATCGTTGACATTAATAAACATGCATTTTTTGTTTTTACTTCACAATTTCATCTGCTCGGTGTATTCTCCTCCCCTGTCATATAACAGTGTAGTACGTGACGTCATTTCCGTGTGCTGTAACAACTTCCTCTGCTGCGGCTGCAGACATCGGTGGCATGTCCTGAATGCCGATGTTTCCATAGCCTCGTCCTGACGCTGGTTACAGAACTTCAGTCCCTGAGGAAGAGTAATTTAAATTCAGTGTGTCCTGCCTCTATCGGACGAGTCAAGATACCGCTCATGCACTGCAGTTCTCTTTTCTTTGTTACTTTCCGTTGCCTGACCTCGACGCTCTGTTGAGCACGCAGACGGCTCCCTGATCTGATGGGGTGCCTCACGAAATTCTGGGCACAACTCACAGTGTAGTATGAGTGACAGGACGGTTAGAGAACAATGTAATGGACGGACTAGGAAGGAGGCGGTCGTAGCCTCATCAGAGTTTTCCTGAAGGGACTGAGGAGAACCACGAATAATATAAATCAAGAACAGAGCTACGTGGCGAGATTCGAAGTCATAGCCTCCTGAATATGAAACGGGATAACCGCTGGATGTTAACTTTACTTGATGTTCTATAGTTCGGTAGATAGGTACCAACGTTTCGGAGGAATCTTCTGCCTCCATCTTCAGCATAACGGATTTTCATTGCCGGTAGAACCTCAGATATGTTCAGCGTCTGCCGATTTTGCCTCTGAGCTTCGCGAGAAGAAAATTGAATAGGGGTACGACGAGAAGTAGCGCGTAAGTGGTTGCAGCTGGAGTTTTAAAGGGGAAATGGCGCACTATAAGGCTATGTTATGCCCTATACACTACCTCAGTCAGTAGACCTGTTGAGAAGTGACAGGTCTAGAATGAGCATGCGCAAATAGATAGGTCTGTTCAAATTGTAAACACTTCGTCATCTTCGCTATGTCATCACCTAGTCTCCAGCAGTCTCTCGCCTGTCTCATCCTCGGGCTGTTGAACATTGTGAGACCCCCCCCTCCACCGCGCACATCTATACTAACATGAGTGGCAGTAATCCGACGTCTGATCCTCACTTGTTCGTTTCCATGCGACGCTTCAGGACATCCGGGTCCTGAGAGGCGGAATGACACGTGGTCGCACTTCCTCTTGTTACAGTAACAAGGGCTTATGTCACCGTACCGTTCTCACGGCTCTCCCCCTCGCGCACTTCATCGTTCATCAGCTTCCCATTAAATATTGCAGCGTGCAGACCCGTTGCCGGGTAACGGTCGCAAACAACGTCCGTTGCTAGATCAGCAAATTATTATTAAACGGAGCTGCGCAACCCGCTTCTAGGAAACAGCTCGGTAAACACGTTCCCGCGGCAACGGACACGAACGCAACAATAGAAGAGCTGTGTTTTCCATGTGTTCCGAGCCCAGAATAACTAGGACAGTTGGAGCAATGAGTTCAAACCCGTGTGGACGCGGGTTCGAGTACCTCCATCGTAGCCCTGCGAGATTTAGGAGGCGACGAAAAGGGATGTCTCAATTCTGAGACAGTAAAATATGGTCGCGAGTCCCACGAGACTCGGACCTGAGAATGGCTACGCAGGCGAGGGCCAGCAACAAGTGTAAACGACAAACCCATCCTATCATTCGCTAATCACCCTATCATTCGACGTCCATCGTAACTTTTACTTTTTCCGGAACGTCAATATTCACAAAAGAGGAAATTATCTTAGTCCCTTATGACACTCTTGCTTAATTCTGATATGCATTTCCTTTTAAAAGCTTCTGAGAACATTTTATTCACCTCTGGTGCTTCCGTCTTCAGTTTAATCCTCACCTTTCCTTTCTTTAGCGGACGTCTCTCGTATCCCTTTTGAATATGTCGACCCTTTGGTGACGGAACCGTTTCGCTGTACCGTCCTGTATGAGCCGTGACGGAGAGGCGGCTCACGGTTAGCTCTCCTGCAAGGAGCAGTACGGACAGCAGCATACCCGCGCCCAGCACCGCGAGGAGGGGTGAAGCCGCCTGGATGTCTATCTGCTGGGAACTGGCGTCGTTGCCAAAAGGCCTCGCCGAATATTGCTGTCTGTAAAGTCGCTTTATGACGCCGTTACTTGCGAGCCTCATGGAACTGAAATGGGGCAAACAGAAACAGGATATTAACGTGTGAGGTCTGAGGTTCAAGTAGCGGTAGAATATTCAGAGTTACCCGGTGTGTCGACAACAGTGTATTCGCCCATCTCCTTGCATGAAGAGAGCAAGTGCCGAGTTTGCCGAAACGCCGGGAAATGCATTGAGTTCCAACTGCGTAGATCTAATGACAAGAGTTTAGACTAAATTGTTAGCGCTGCATGCGTGGCCCCAGAAGCTCAGTGATTACCGCCATTAGGCGCCGAGCAAAACATAGATTCAACTTCTAACTGAAGTTAAGTTGTGCATATTTGTGACGGCAAGTTTTGTAACATTCGAGGGCCATTATTAAGTGGCCTTATTGTAGCTTACATCTCAGAAGTGTCCAGAGAAACGGGAGGATGAAGCTGTAGGCCATGACTGACGCAGGCCGACAAGAGGATTTCGGAAACGGAACTCCAGCGCTTATAGAAAGTGACATCAGTTTAAAGGTAAATTAGAGGCAGATTTTCTCTGTACCTGATTAAGCACGGGAGCCAGGATAGCGCAGTCGGTATAGTGATTGGATACGGACTGGACGACCGAGAGATCGGAATTCGAGTCTTGGTATGGTCAAGAATTTTCTCCCCTTCGTCCAGACCGGCTTAGGGGGCCACCCAGCCTCCTCCCCAATGGGTATGGGGTGCTCTTTCTCCGGGGGAAAAGCGGCCAGGGCGTGAAACTGGCCACTCACCTACAGTTAGTGCCGAGGTCAATAAAATGTGGATTTATACACGGGGACAACTTTACATAATTAAGCACTTTGCTATGAAGGCTTATGAAGAAGTGGAATCTTCACTGGAGCAGTAGATCGAGTTGAGTGGTTAGCTTCATGTTCTGGCCGCTTTATCCCCGAAGAAAGAGCGGTACTCATGGGTAAAGACTGGGTAGGACCGTGGGGCTGTCTGGACTCAGTCACTAAGAGACGGAATATTTGCCCCCGAAGAGAATGGAACAGAGCCCTGTGGCTGTGTCACGGGCGCTACAGAATGGCTTCGATAGCATACAACACGTACTAGTGTTCGAGGACTCCCTTGTATGGGCTCCGTTTCGAGATGGCAAAGCTGAGGTAGGAGCGAATAGCAGTGCCTGGAACATGCACCACGGCGCAAGGCAGCGACGCTTTCATCATCTCGGCGTCCGGCACTGAAGCAAAGTAAGCATACCGGTGCCTTGTGCACAGCGTCGTCAGGCCTTCGTACACGCCGCGCGGCAGGCGGTCCACTTCCGGCTGTATCTTCCGTCTGTACATCTCTCTCATGAGAGCGTCCTGTGATTGCTGGAACGTAAGGGCATATGCTGAAACCATACTGTTTCTCAACGAAGACAAGGCGAGGGAAGTGACCGACCTTCACCAATCTACTGTTAATTTAGGACATTCTGAGGCCGTGCCGCAGCTCAGGCGGTCAGTGCCGGCTTCCCACCGCGGCGACCCGGGTTCGATACCAGGTCAAGACATATGGCATTTGTAGTGGACAGTGTGGCACTGGGGCAGGTTTTCTCCGAGTACTTCGCTTTCCCCTGCCAATTCTCTTTCCACCGACTACTCCACGCTCATCGTCTATCGTCCGGGCCTGGTACAATAGGCCAATTAGTGGCCGAAGTACTTACCTCACCCTACCTCAATATATGCTAATGAAAGTTCAGTGTTCAGATGAAGCTTAGCAGATTATTGGACGCATCGCCACTTACTCCATACTTGCATGTAAACTGGCAATATGTTTAGGCAACACAGGGTCATCATCACTTACATATATGATGATTTTCGCTGTACAGTATACTGTAGCAGTACATGGTTCGTGAGAGCTGTACACTCAGAGACTTATTAAAACTCCAAATGGGCCTCTGTTAAAATAATTTAACAATCAGGATAAATTTTAAAATTATAAAATGTTACATTACATTATATTAGGATACTGGAATAGAGAAAGCTACGTTGTGCTGAGGATGCAGGTAGAGTGGAGGAGACAAGAAATGTTTACATAATTTTGGCTTAGGGCCTCTATGGGGAAAGAGAACATTTTCAAGACAGAAGAAGAAGGTTGGAAGAAGCTATGAGGACCGGAGGTGGGTGCAGCTGGCTTGGGATCATGTGCTGTGACTGAACCCCGAAGGCGGTTGGTACGTGAAGTGAGGGAAGCAGCGCTTAATCAGACAGTAAAGTGAAAGTTTTGCCCCGAGTCTTGCTGACAGCCGGTGTCAGTGGTAGTGACGTACTTCGAAGTAGCTTATCTGAGCGCTCCCTGCCAGTGTCCCAAGCCGGTAGTGCCTGAGTTGCAGCAGCTCCTGGAAGGACGAGAACGGAAGTTTGAAGTCCTGGACCGTCATGAACGATACAAGCGCCGCTGAGTAGGCTGCCAGTAACACTGTTGTCGTCACGTATGACGTCATAATTATCATACGGCAGGCCGACGAATTCATATTCATGTCATGACCTATAGTGGAAAACATTATCATGTTAAGTACTTTGACTTATGTTAACGCCACAGCTGTCGTAGCTCAGTCAGTATAATGATTAGATCACGGCATGGACGACCGGAGAATCGGGGTTCGGCGAGGGCAGAAACGTTTATCTTTACAGCGTCACCGGTCTGCTCTGGGGCCCACGGAAATTTCTATCCTAGGAGTATGTGCGGTTCCTTCCTAAAGGGGTAAAGCGGCCGGGACGTGACTCTGACAACTCACCCCAAACTAGTGGCAACATGAAGAATCAGTGGATACACACCGCCACTCCTTATACGTTCTAATGACATTAAGCTTAATTAAGCATAGAGACAAGGTTGCCCCTACCGTTACCACGCTGAGTGGCAACTTCTGAGTCGTTGAAACGACCACAAAACTCTTTTTGTACCTGTGACTTGGGAGAAATGGAGGTGAATGGCATAGGTTGCGTTGCTACACACTCAGATGGAGCAATTCTGTGTTTTCGGGAAGCTCTGTTCACAAGAATCTGCCGCTGGAACCTATTCTGAGTCATCTGGGTCCAGTCCATAGTATCAGAACCTAGGATCCATTTTAATATTATCCTCCCTACATCTGCGTCTCCTCCAAAATTTATGTATTTATTATTTTCCTCATATGTACTATATGCCCTACCCATTTCTTCTCTAGAAAGACGCCGACGTTTCGGAGGAACAGATTGCCTCCATATTCAGGATAGGAGAGTAAGTCAAACAAGCAATCAGAAATAATATGGTGGCAAGCGCGCTGTATCCTGCTGCTTACTTCCTTGAGATTTCCTGGGGGTAAAGGGCGGCCGGCGCGTAAGACTGACAACCTTGTTGCCATCTATGAACCGATTATCTAGAAACTGTGGGAGCCTCGACGTCTCACAAACCTATGGACCTCCGCGGCCCGTTACGCCGTTTCAGGCACGCTCAGTCTCTCTTCTTCCTTAAGGACGTGAGACCAAGTTTCGCACACATGAAGCGATAATCCTGTCTTTTTGTTATGACGATATTTGGTCTCTTCAAGTATTCGGTGGTTTTCAGAGATCTCAGGTTCAAGATTAATGATAAAGGAGACGTAGGCGTACCTTAAAATTATATGCGACTGAAATATGACGTATTATAATATGTTAGAACTAATTAATCCGTGGAAGTGAGCCCTGCTTGAGAAGCCAGTGCTTGACAGGAATTTCACAGAATTTTGTTGAACCCGAAAGTTCATTACCATGTTTACAGGAGCCCACCAATGACCCCTGTCCTGAGCCAGATGAATCCAGACCACTCTGTCCCACCCAATTTCTCTGCGATCCAATTTTATTGTTCTGCCATCCACGAATGTGTCTTCAAAGTGGTTTGTGTTCTTTGGGTTTCAAGACCAAAATTTCGTGTGAAATTTCTCTTCTCTCCCATAAACTCAGTGATTTTAATCCGCAAGCGAACAATACCGACCGAGCGACCGCCGCTTGTCGGCGAAGTTTAGTGCCAACTTTTGCGGATAGAGGGTGTCGCGTGGTCAGCGCAACGAATCCCCACGTCCGTTAATTTCGGTTTTCTAGACCGGAGCCGCTATTTCTTTTAAATACCTCCTCAATTATCATCACGAGGCTGAGTGGACCCCGTTCCAGACCCACTACTTCTAAGAAAAAAATCTGGTAGCGCCGAGAATCGAACCCGGACCTCTGGATCTGTAGCCAGGAACGCTGACCACTAGATTTTGTTTACCTCATCATCTTGATCATTCTAATATTAGCGCGGAGTACGTAATTTGCTGGATGGGTACCAAATTACACGGCGTCAGAACACTGTACTTTTAATATTCACCGCCGTGAGAAGCTCAGATATAAATGCGAATTTACCTTGGTTACAAAAATTCCCGAATATGCGGAATACGGACTCGGACACGATGTACCACAGCGGCAAATTGGACGTCCGCGTGACGAGACGCCACGCTGCCGAGAGGCAGGCTGATAGGATCAGTATAGTCAGCAGGATAGTCCCCCAGAGCAGACTGCTGAAGGGGTCCAGAAAGTTGTTCCAGTTTGTTGAAATACCTGGCTTCCTGATGTAGACCGCTGTCCTGGGAAAACAGTCAGGATGTTAAAACCCGCATGAAATAATACGGCTACAATAATTCGAAATGAGATATGGTCTGTACTTTAAGACCTGGCCGTTCCCAACAAAATGCGCAGTGGATTTGGTATGGTATGCTACAGTCCGCCTTTTCAGTCTTGGCCGTTCCCAACATAATGCGCAGTGGATTTGGTCTGCTATGCTACAGTCCGCCTTTTCAGTCTTGGCCGTTCCCAACATAATGCGCAGTGGATTTGGTCTGCTATGCTACAGTCCGCCTTTTCAGTCTTGGCCGTTCCCAACATAATGCGCAGTGGATTTGGTCTGCTATGCTACAGTCCGCCTTTTCAGTCTTGGCCGATCCCAACAGAATGCTCAGTGGATTTGGTCAAGTGCACTAGCTGAGATGAAGATTGTAGGGTATGCATGGGTTAGAATTGGGCCGCGGTTGTAATTCGTCTCCTTATATCCCTCTCTAAATGTAGCTGCAACCACTGCTCCACTACATCTTGTCATACTTCTAAAGTACAATCGGAGGTCAGGTCTGAAAACACACCAGGACCGCAGCGCACTAGGCCACGAAATTTGGCGTCAAGATGTCATACAGATTACTTACTCTTAAAACGGTAAAACTTCCAGTTTTGTTAGGATTTCCTCAAGAGGTTGACTTAACGCAGCTGTGAGCACCTCAGTACTTTGCGCTGAAGGACAGGAACAGGAGTGGTGAATGATGACTTAGGAAATATTTAGAAGGAAGAGGTGGAGTTACTATCTCAACATTCGGCACCAGAAACTCAGGAAAAGCACAAAATTCTGTCAGGATAGCCATGCCGCTGTACAGATGCGAACCGAGCACGTGTCGAACACAGATCCAGAGCGTCACCGCTGCACTAGACTACTTCATTTTATGCAGTAGGTACATATTGTAACGTGTTTGGAGTAGATACTTCCATGGCAACGCAGTAACAGTGGGCCGCTGCGTAGACAATGCCGAAACAGCGATACCACAGGCGATAATAGCTGCATGGGGTGTAAGTGTGTGTATCCAGTAAAGATTCTCTGAATCCGAGACCCACGTGAAGTTATTTGTCCCGTGACACACCCAACACGTGACAATATGTAGTGTGCATACATGCATTCATGTGTGTTTGTATGTAGGCATATATAATGTAGCGTGTAGACCCGTTACTGGGTAGCGATCTCGAAACAATCAATGAAATATCTGCTGCTAGGCAACAGATTCTGGATAAGCAAGTATACGCAGCCGTTACTGGGTAACGCCTTCGCAAATAAACATGTTTCCACGGAAAAACTGCACAAAAACAAAATGTGTGTTCTACGCGGTTATTGAGGGGGGATTATCAATAGGACAAGTTTAGAAGTTAGTCGTTTGTAAGAAAGTCTGTGAAGAGAAGTCTTGGTCAGTGCAGTTGAAGAATCTAAATTATTAGGATCCGTTACCGGGAAAGGGAAACGATTAGTGACAGCAGAATGAAATGACTTAGCGTGTGCTGTAGTGATCTGTAAAGTGTAAACATTTGTAACGCGTTGCCGTTCATTCATGATGTATACTTTATCAGTCATATATTATTAGCACAGGACTCTAAGAGTTGTTAGTACTTACGAATAGGACCAGAAGACTGCATCTGTAAATGCACCTAGGTCATACGGCGCCGCCTTGAACAGTCGCCGTTACAGCTGTAGACTCAGTAGCTTAGCCTATATAGAGATCACGGAGTTTGCTTGCTCGGCAGTAGTGTGTGTGGCAAACTGATTGATTGAGGTTATTTCCTTTTTCTTTAATTCTTCTGCAGGCAAATGATGCTTCACTTACATAGCAATTGTTTTATCAGTTGATGTCGTGCTTAAACATTTTCTCGTTGAAATTTAAACGGGCTTTGTATTAATTACGGTTATAATTACATGTTTTATTCTTAATATGTAATTTTTTAATTTTATTTCATGTTCATGTGCGTTGATATACACAGTGATTCTAAATTATTGTCGTGGTTTACGTTTATCGACCACGGAAACCCCGGCGGTAAATTAGAATCACCAGGTTTATTCGTGTAGTCCATTACTTGGTGTCTCTTTCATTTAATGGACCCCAAAATTTGAATTTCTTACCTTAATTCCACAAGTGGCGTGAGAAAATCTATGGCCCTTCTCCGTGCACGGGTGGCCGCGAGGCCAATAGAGGAGAAGTTGGCCTCACCCCGCACCATAGAGCCCATCACCCCGTCCCAGGTATGGTTGGGTAACTCCACACCCCATGAGTTCTGGGGAGCCTTTACGAATTGGGACCTAAAGCAGGAAAATGAAGTTAGGATTTGTATCCACTCACCAAATGAATGTGGAGGGTGTAAGGTTACTGACTGTAGCCGGCCAGCTTATTAACTGACTGTCACAACAATCAGTCAACTAACTAACTAACGCTAGCCAAACAATTAACTAAATACCTAACTAATGCTCATTAATAAATAACTATCCAACCATCAGCAAACAAATATCAACCTACGAACTAACTGAAGCTAACCGGCATGCTAACTAACTAACCAACTAGCTAAATAGAAGCAACAGTGTAATTAAGATACCAAGTAACTAAAACTAGCTAACCAATTGACTGACTGGCCGACTAACTAATGAATCAATTAACCAGCTAGATAATAATTACACAGCTACACAAATTCCCAGTATTTTATAGAACAGGAAGGTTCATGACCGTGACAACACTAGCTCGCCACTTCATCCAATCCGAAGACATCATTACCATCTAATTTTTTTAATTCTCTTAGTGGGAGGTGGAGTCGAACTCGGTCCACTCGGCACGGCGGTCACTGATTGGCCTATTGTAGCCTGCCCCGGTTGAATATGATGATGGAGAATCTGGTGCAGTGAAGATTGGCAGGGGAAACCGAACTAGTCAGAGAAATCCCACCTCAGCGCCACTTTGTCCACCACAAAACCCACTTGACCAGATCCGGGATCGAATCCTGGCCGCCGTGGTGGGAGGCCGGCGACTAACCGCTTGAGCTATGGCGCGGCCTTACAGCAAGGTAAGAGAGACCTGAGGTGTTCTTCTCCTATTGAATCCAATTCCTTTGGCCTCCTTACAGCAGCATCCCCGAGTCTGTGTCTTGGTCACGGACTTCAGTTGCTCTGGATAGGAACTCTGTATCAGTTGACGGGAATGTCGGTGCAGTTTAGTGGTCTCAGAGTCGCCCTGCGATACTTACGAAAAGTTAAGACGCATCTGCAAAGCGTTCCACACTTCTCCAAAGAACCCGCCGATTTTCAGGATCGTGTTGTGCTGCATTTCTGTTATGTACAGCAGATTGGTCTGAGGAAGGGGAAGAATGTTAGTAGCACCAGCACAAGCAACGAAATGTTGCTTAACGGGACTAACGCGCTATTATGAAGTGCAAGAGAGACTCAGTAAATAGGTCACAAATGGAAGAAAGAACATATCCTCCACCAACACTGAAACACCTGTCCTACCGCTTTACCAGTGCGTCGAAACCTGCAGCATAGAAGTCTTTTGTCTCTTGTCCGAGCCACTTCCGCACTTGGACGGACTTCATGTGCGACTTTCGAACCTCCTTGAGAGAATTTTTCGACCCAGTTTGAAACGCTTTACGCGACAAACACTTCCCACTGTAAACAGGAAACATTTCTTTATAAGTAACTTTTACATTGAGTCCTTTGGCCTACAGAGCAAATATGCACAAAACAGAACGTCGCTCTTCGGTACTATACTTCTCAAGCAGTGTAATCATTTTGACTACTGAAACCAGCATGTGAGCATGCACATGCGTCCGCCATGAAGCTGGACTATGCTGCTACCTAGTGATACACACAGAAAAAGCAGCTGCTTTACTGAAATTTGTGACTTATTTACTGACTCTCCCTGGTACTTTGAAATACACTCACTTATGTAATCTAATATAGGAGATCTTATATATATATCCTGTTTTTTACGGTGGAATATTCCTAAAGAATACCGAAAGGTATTATGAAATTTAATCTGGAAAATTAAAATGTGACTAGAGAAGGCATGAGCAAGTCCGCAGTGCACACTTGCACTCCCTACTGCCATCTCTGTTGACTGCGTGAGGAAACTTCAGTCTTTCATGTATCCACTAAAACCACCTGACAACGACAACTTGCTAAATTCGAATTGGTTACATGATTAATGGCCCGAATTGTTTTAGCTGAGATTTCGCCACTTTATGTAAAGTCGTACATCACTATTTAAATGTTTCTCAAAACCAATGTTAGGATTCTGTACAAATATACCAGTGAAACACGTGGAGATTTCAGTTATTGCTGTTTATAAGCTTTCTTCTTATTTATTTTGTCTACTTTCTCTCACTTTCCTTTCCAGTTTTGCAAGTTAACGAATGATGCGCTGAAGCCGATGTTTAATGACGTCTCCCACGAATAACAAACTAATCGCAAATTGTCTCGTTGATATAGTATCATATATGTCATATATCTACATCAAAATATTATCAGTACTCACTCGATAGACACGATATGCTGAACCATAAACTGAGCGACAAACAGTTCACTAAACGTGTACACGTAAAGAGGCTGGTCTTTCAGCTTCGAACACAGAAGTGGAAAATCAAATAAGCTGTAATGTGTTTACGTTTCCTATCACCATTTATGTGCTACAGTGTTCTACATGTGTCTGAGAAAGTGTTCTAGGTGTGTGTGACAGTGTTCTAAGTGCGTATGTGACAAAGTGTTCTAAGTGTGTTTTTATGGCACAGTATTATAAATGTGTGTGGCACAGTGTTCTAGCTGTGTGTGTTGCAAAACTTTCTAAGTGTGTATGTGGCACAGTGTTCTAGCTGTGTGTATGGCTAGTTGTTCTAGATGTGTATGTGTCACACTATTCTAGGCGCGACACAATTTTCTAGACGTGTGTCAGAATGTGCTCAGCACAGGTACCTTGGGGTGCTGTATACTCGTAGTGTTCACTTACAGATTCGATGACAGCAGATCGGAAGGCAAGTCCATGAAGATTGTTTCTGCGTTCGTACAAGTTCTGATAATGCAAGTCGCCCAGTCGACGTGTCTGAAGGGGAAGTTTGGGACTAATTCGGTACACTTCTGCCACCACCATGTGGCCGCCGAATTCCTTGTGCACAACAAGAAACTCGCAGTCGAAAGGAATGTTGATGTCCGTAAAGAAATGATCAAACTGAGAAGCGTTCTGCCCCAGGAACAGAAGCCACCTGGCGCCCGATAACACGTCCACTGATGCCTGATTAAAATGGTAAGAATTCGTGTCAGTGAGAAATGGCCTGCTTAGGATACAGTTTGTAGGATAAAAAGGTGACGTTGCCGTGTGCTTAATTAGATCAGCATCAAGCCATGTACACATATGGGGAGTGTGGGTTATAGATGGATGTGAGTGGTCACGTTCATGCTCCGGCTTCTTTACCCCCGAGGAAGGAGCCCCCGGTACTCATTATACAAGAGGCTGGGTGGCCCCCAGAGCCGGTCTGGACTGTGGAGAGGACAGTATTCTTCGAACTCGGACCCGTCGGCCGCTCAGCCAGTAGCCCGTCACTGTACTGACTGAGCTATGCCGTCTCCCTTCCTGGTATGGAGGGTTGAACTCAAACTGGGAATGTTTTGAAGGTTACTGTACTCTGGGATGTGACGTCATACAATTTCGTAAATAGATACCAATATTTTGGGGAAAATTTCTGGTAGACTTGAAAGGATTCTGACGATGGTGGATACTGTACTTTTTTCTTTTGGTCCAGTGATTGAGACTAGCTCTTTCTAAGGGGCCCAACTGAGTAGGTTTATCCTTCCCTATCCACCTGAAGACGGAGACAGATCCAGTCTCCGAAACGTCGTGTTTTTTTTTTCTTTTATATACCAGACGATGGGTGAAGTCCAAAATAAGCCAAAAGAAGTACGGAAATTTTCTGCCTCGGTCTACAGGATAATGAAGCGAAGTTGGAGGCAGAATATTTCTCCAAAACGTTTGTAGTCATCTACCAAACCACACGGCATCACTCTTTATAGTCGCCGCCCTGCTGACTTCAAATCCAGTACGGTAGTGCCGTCTTAACCACTTCAGCCTCACACCAGCACCAGTACGGTAGTGCCGTCTTAACCACTTCAGCCTCACACCAGCACCAGTACGGTAGTGCCGTCTTAACCACTTCAGCCTCACACCAGCACCCGTTCCGAAAAACTACAGTGAGACAGAGCTAGGCTGAACTTTAGTTCCATGTTCCGACCGTCGTTATCCTTACGAACAGCTGTTATTACGCTTTGTATGCGAGGCTGGGTGGCGAAGTGACACATTTGAATTTCTCTGACAGGAATTAAAAAACGTGTTCATAGCTAATGTGAGGGTGCGCGGTAGCGTAGTTGGTTGAGGCACTATGCTACAAGCCGGAAGGTCGCGGGTTTAAGTCCCGATGAGGACACTGGATTTTTCAATTGACGTAATCCTTCCAGCCGCACTATGGCCCTGGGGTTGACTCAGCCTCTAACAGAAATTAGTACCAAGAATATTCCTGGGGGTAAAGGGCGGCCGGCGCGTAAAGCTGACAACCTCACCGCCATCTATGAGCCAATTGTCTAGAAAATGTGGGAGCCTCAACATCTCACAACCCTATGGGCCTCCACGGCCTGTTACAAGGATATCTTTACTTTACTTTACGTTCCTAGCTAATGTAGAACAATTTTTTAATAATTTTAATTATCGACACTCCGTCATGCATCTTCAGGGCGTAGTGCTTTTTTAAGCACAAGTACAGCTTTATTACCCACTTATTGTATAAAACATCATCTCAGTCCTTACTGCAGAAATGAAATGTCTCGAGAAGTAAATGAAGTCGGGTGAAAAGAGCACAGAAATTTCTTTGCGTCGTCAGTTTCTTTTATAAAGTAAGGCTGAAGATGTCAAAGTGATTTCAACGTACGATTTTTAGTTTTACCTGTTTCAAGAATCGCTGAACTGCGGGTCCACTTGTCACGAAGACGTAGAGGGGTTGCTTCTTGCAACACGTCCCCTTTTGGGAAGATTCATTTGTCATACTGACGGGCAGAGTCGCCGTCGGGACGCCATTTGCAGATAGAAGCGTCTGTAGTGCCACTGCCTCGACATCATATTTCATGTCTGATCGACAAGAAGCGGGGTAGGCAGTGTTTTAGTCGTGCGACTGATATTGGTAGGCACGTAGCTTGGGAGTGGGTGAGAGCATCTGTTGCCATAGAGGACAGGCATTGAGACGAGAGATGAGCTGCCTCAGAAATAAATAGACATAAGTGANCAGAGATTAACGAATTTCTCCACTTATGAAGAAAGCAGTCTTCTGGGATTTGGCACCGTGTATATGTGGTGTTAACCGACGTTTCGGAGGAACGTATCGCCTCCATCTTCAGGGTAGAAAGAAAAATATAAGAAATCCGCAAGCGAAGAGACCGTGAGAACCGGTTCCTCCGAAACGTCGGTTAACACCACATATACACGGTGCCAAATCCCAGAAGACTGCTTTCTTCATAAGTGGAGAAATTCGTTAATCTCTGCACATAAAGTGCCTCAAATTAAGAACCAAATTAAAATATGTAAATATGCACAGTTTTGTTTTGTTTGTTATGACACTATGAAATCTCACCACTTTTCGGATGAAAATACTGCCTTCATCCTCAGTGCAATATTCAGCACCGAATAATAAGTAATAAATTACTTCGAAGCCTAGGTATCAACCTCAGGGCCTATACAGTGTTATAACCCAGAAGATCACAGCATTCACTGCCGTGGAAACATCACGTATCAACTGCAAATGTATTCGAAAAGGAAGAATTCCGTCTTCTGGGATGTGGCGTCGTGTGGATCTTGTGTGAACAGACGTTTTGGAAGAACGTATCGCCTCCATCTTCAGTGTAGAAAGACCTGCGAGCGAGGAACCAGCGTGAGAATGTGGCTGCAGACTGAGCCACTAGTCGAAAACAAGATCTACACTGCGCCGCATCCCAGAAGACGGAATGCTTCATAGTCACCGACGGGAAAACCTCAAATCTTACATATTCGGAAAGGATTTTGGGAATTTTTGTCAGGCATGGCAGAGATTAGTACTATGAAGGCACTTATGCTGACTAAAGAATTACTCAGGTCATTTGCCAGACCTATAGTCTGTCTATTTTTGGTTGGACTCTGAAATCCGCAGAACAGGTCTGAGAGCCCGTCTGATTGGGATGTAGTGACAGGCTGCCTAGCTACACTTGCTTTCTAGAAGACATCTATTTTAGATACTAAGATTGTGTCTTTCTAACCACTTGGTCGCCTTTCGAGGCTGAAGAGGTAAAGCTGTAATTGCATCTACGTACCTCGCTCTCCAACGTACGGTAGTATAACGCAGGGAGAATAGAAATATTTTTGTATAGCCAAGGCAATATGTGCTCTGGTCTCGATGGGAAGTGAGAGCACGCTGATAGTGCAGTATGATGTCAGAGTGTGGACTATCAGAACGGCGGCCCGCGACGTGTACATGTCTCCGCAGTGACTGTCCGCCTGCATTACGTCGCCGCTCGGAGAAGAGTGTGAACAGGACATCGCGTTGCGCAACTGGGTCGCAAACAAAGCCCCTAGTGTGATAACAATCTTTACGAGGTTCAATCTATCAGGTTAATTATTAAACAGGCTATCCTAACAGAAATAGGGAAGCCTGGCTCCCGTAGTGACGCCTGTGCGTCTTACCGCGGATGGTCTGAGTACTCTAACCGGGATTCGAATCCAGTCCGGGAGGTGGATATGTGTGGGACTTGCAGTTAATATTAAGAGTACCGTTTTCTTGGATGTGACACCGTATACAGTGGTAAGAGTTTAGAGGAACGGCAATAATGTCTCCATCTTCGAGGGGTCGAAGCGTAAGCCAAGGAAACGAGCAACAATCAGCGGTTGCTCCTGTCACTTCTCCACCTTGAGGATGGGTGTTTTAAGTGTTTGAATGTCGATGCACTTCTACCAGACTTTATGGCGTCATATTCCAGAATGGAAAGTATAAGCCTTGCAGTTAATTGATTTACCATATGAAGTGTCTTACTGTTACAGGGTACTGACACCGTGTAATCTGGTAGATGGTTACCAGCACCGTCCGGTTGAAGTACTTGCTGTTGGAATTCTATTTTTATTTCTTTACTGTTATCGGACTCGATTGTTCGATTCCCGATGAGGTTTTCTTGATATCTCAATTAACCTAATCCTTCCAGCCGCACTATGGCCCTGTAGTCTACTCAGCCTTTAACAGAAATGAGTGCCAGGAATCTTCCTAGGGGTAAAGGGCGGCCGGCACGTAAGGCTGACAACTTCACCGGTATCTGTGAGCCGAATGTCTAGATAATGTGGGAACCTCGACGTCTCACAACTCTATTGCCATCCACTGCCTGTTACAGGGATACATTTGACGTACCATTTTCATTTAACGTTCTCGAACGACGCTTTTGGTATTAACTGTTTGTGGCGTGGAATGGTAGGATGACTGATGATTGATGAACTTGAAATGATTAGGAAGGAAACAGCCGTGACCTAATCGAGGTACTTTCCCGGAATTTGCCTGAAGTGACTGAGAAAAACCACAAAGAACATGAGTGAGAATAGCTGGTGTCCTGATAGATTCGAACGGAGCTCCTCCAGGAGCAGAATCTGTGTGCTTGTCCTTGAGGCATGCAGAGTAAATGCGCAGTAATGGAGAGCTTTCGGCGCGAAGAGAAGGAAGGGAAACACGACAAAGGGGCACATACATATCGTTTTGTTGATGAAACAAGGGGAATGTACAGACAGGGGTGGGGTACTGATAAGTGGGTACAGAATGTTATCACACACAAGAATCGAGAGCAATTAGGTAGATATATGAGTATATTAAATAATTTGGATTGAGTTCAGCTGGCTGTGGTTAAGATACAGCTAAGGAGTTTTGTGAACATGGGTTCCATAACAGCAGAATGTCTCCTGGTCCTCAAGATAAAATCTACATGCCAGAAGCAATTAAGAAGGAGCTTAATGTATGTGGTCACGACCAAAGGGAACTAGGCCAAAAGCGCCAGACATCGGACTCGCGATGTTTCGTGACTGCGTAGCGTCAGAAGGGCAACAGTACGTGAGGGCACAGTATCTCTCTCCGTTCATCATCCTAAGGTCGCATGTCGATGTAAGGCTCTTGCTTTTACAGATGCCGTGTTTGTTCAGTTTATGTCTCCCGCTAGACTAATGAAGGCGGTGTGGCCTTTTAATGCTTAATTGCTTTCACGAAATACAAGGTTGGTTAATGCACTCGAATGATGAATTCTTATTGTGTCTGTGTATTTAACTTGATCATTAAACGTACATAATATTCAGCAATTAATTAAAAGTTATGTCACAATTATTTATTTATTTACTAAACGTCTACAGGATGATTCACGAAGTTTTACTCCCACTTAGGGAGGGCATTCCTGAGGTAATTTGGAACAAAAAATGTTAATATACTAATGGTATCCAACTCATAATTAATGATACACAGTAAATTGAAAACTGGCGCAAAATCTTTTTTCTTCGAATTTCAGTCAAAACAAATTAGAAATAAAATACGAACACTTTAAATCGTTAATGTTTTAGGAAAGAAGCATTCTAAAACTATTTTTTTTTTCAATTTCTTAATTTTGCATTGTGCAACATTTTTCATCGATTTTATGTTAAAAAATTACATAATTTTCAGCATCCCATTCTGTAAACATACCAATGGTTGCGTATCACACCCTTCTATCAATCTGTTTCCTTTAAACTGTAGTGCTTTAGAAGACGACTGGATTTACATAAGATTTTCAAACGTGTCCCCCTGCACGTCAACACAACGTGTCGCACGCGTATGAACCGCGCTCGTAGCATTTCGCAGTTCCACACGTTTGTTTGTTCCTTATTGTCATCGCCGCGTTCAGAATACGCTCAAGCAACGCTTCACGTGTTTGTATCTTTACCTGGTATACAATGTCCTTCAACCAGCCCCAAATGCAATAATCTTAACGGCGTTAGATCTGGCGACCTGGGAGGCCAGGCGTTACGGCCTCCGCGACCAATCCACCGATGTGGGAAATGCCGATCCAAGCGAGCTGCTACTGCGCCGGAGAAGTGAGGAAGTGCCCCATCATGCTGAAAGTACATCCGGCGTCTTGTTGCCCGAGGAACATCTTCAAGTTACTGTGGTAATTCTTCTTCTAAGAAGTGGAGGTAAGTCTCACCAGTTAAGCGGCCAGGAAAAATGAACGGCCCGATTAGCTGATCATACAGAAAACCACACCAGACATTGACACTGAATCGGTGTTGAAAATTCGATTCTATCGTGGCACGGGGATTATTGTCTGCCCAAACGTGTAAGTTGTGACTCTTGTTGACCCCGTCCGTGTAAATTGTGCCTCATCGCAGAACATTATCAAGCGCTACAACTGCCGATTTCCATTTAACCAGTTGCAGAACTGCAGACGAAGAGCACGGTCTCCTGGCTGTAGGTGTAGTACTTGCTGCAAATGATAAGGATGCAGCCCGTTCTCATGAAGAGTCCTCCACGCCATGGACTGAGAAACACCGAACCGCCTAGCTAGACGTCTTGTACTGGCACGCGGACTGCGCCCTGCAGCATCGAGAATGTTTTCTTCTTCGCACAATTCATGTTGAGGATTTCGTTCGTATTGTATACGAACGCTGGGGAGAGAACCAGTTTATCTTAATGTGTTGAATGTACTGTTAATGGATTTAGGATTCGGAATGCTGCGATTAGGATAACGCCGGTCATATTCGGCAGCAGCGGCTCTCGCATTTCCATCACATACACACAAAACAAACTCCATATCGGCATATTCCTCAGTAGAAAATGTGTACGGCATCTTAACTTCACAAAATCACCAACACAACGTCCTGTTCACTACTGGATCGCTTTGCCTAGGATCGCGCAACATTCCAGCCGGTCAGCTTATCTGCTGACAGCTGACTGGAGCGCAAGGTCGCCCAGGAGGGCAGCAGAGCGCTGCATTCACATTGATGCGTTTCGAAAATCTATTGTTACTCCGTAACTATTGAAAATCCACCAAACGTTTATAAGGAAGTTTTGGAGGAAATAACCCTAGGAATGTGTACCATAAGCCGGGGTAAAACTTCGTGAATCACCCTGTATAAAATAATATTTTGGAGAACATGTCTCCATCACAGCCGTATTTATGAAGCACTGTGGACAGAATATTCCTGCCTTATGCTCGTAACTATCTACCAGACTACACGGCGCCGTAAGCAAAAAGCTCACATTCCAAAACGTCACCATATTGGAAGTATCAAATTTCCTCTCATACTTTTAGGATTGTAACAATTGGAATTGTAACCAGTTGAGACAGTTGAACGGCCTCGGGGAAACAAGAGGTGCCTGCAGAATTCCTGTGTGGAAACACATCAGAACGTGACTCCTGGAAATTAATACATAAGAAAGCCGAGAATTTGGATGGAATATAGAGACATATGTTTTTGGCAATGCGGATTGCGAAAAATATTGTTGTGTAACATGTGACGCTGTATAGTCCGATAGACGTCTACCGACGTTTCGGAGGAACAGGGTCGAAGGCTAAGCAATGCGTCAAGCTCCAAATACGACGCCATGTTTGGCGCCTGCTTCTTATTGGTTCCCTGTTTCGCTTACTTGTCGACCCGGAAGTACGTTTCTCCGAAACGTCGGCGAACATTACCGGCGTAACCGGTGTCATGTCCTAGAACAGAGCCATGGTCACCGCTGTGAGAACCGCGTCATTGTGGTGTCTTGAGCCTTGTGACGCCATCTAGTTAGAAGAGTCAGACGTTTCGGAGAAAATATTGCTTCTATATTCAGCGTAAGAGAGCAATTCGGCAACAAAGAGGCAACAGTAGGAGGCAGGTAAAGCATAACTCCGCATTTTTATTGTTAGCCACGTGAGAAGCTGAAGTCCTGAACATGGATCGTGTTCAGCAACGGGCACAGGTTTAGTCTTTTGCCTTAGCGATGTCGGATTTACGGATTGGGTTAGTGAATCCTATTACAACGTGCGATATTATCTATCTGTCTGCCTGCCTACCTATCTACCTACCTACCTAATTTTCTTTTAATGCTAGTGGGGTGACACTAAGTCCCTTCTACTGCGGCCACTTCTGGCCTATTGTACCAGCCCCAGATGATAGGTGAGGGTGAATGTGGAGCGATTGGTGGAATGAAGATTGGCAGAGGAAACCGAAGTACTCGGAGGAACCTGCCCCAGGACCACTTTGTCCACCACAAATCCCACATGACCAGACCCGGGATCGAACCCGGGCCGCCGCGGTGGGAAGCCAGCGACTAACCGCTTGAGCTATGGCGCGGCCTACCTGCCTACCTACCTATGGCTCTACAGCCCTTTGTTGTGCCTTGGCCGCTTTTTCAGTTTCTTCATTCTATACACAGCCGGTAGGACTCCTTGGAGGGGGGATCAGCCAGTAGC